CGATTTGAGAAGGGAATTAGTCATCAGACAAAGGAACAAATCTTCTAATAAGGGGTATGGAGCACCTATGAAGGGAATAGAGCATCTTGTGATGCTTCGTGATGAAGGTGCACCATATGTGTTCCTTTTTTTAGCCATGATATCCTTAGATGAGCCACTCCTTAAAGATGCTCACGTGATGATGCTTACAAGTGATGCTCATGGAAGATGCTCGTGGATGATGCTCATAGAAGATACGCATGTGATATGCTCACGAGTGATGCTCATGGAAGATGCTCACGGATGATGCTCATGTGATGATGCTCATGGGTGATGCTTATGGAAGATGCTCACATATGATGCTTATGGAAGATGCTCACGGATGATGCTCATGGAAGATGCTCATGAGGTTGAAGATTCCGGAAGCGTCTACATGGCCTTCTGTGATTTGATGAAAATTAGGGTATCCCCTTTACAGGCTAATTAGGGATGGGCTTGGTCCATCAAAATTAGGGTTTTCCATGCTTTCCTATAAATAGGCATATATCCCTATTCAGTATTCTTTGTGCGAGTGCTTGTACACAATAATTTCAAAAGAACGGTCATTGTGATGTTGAGTGCAAATCTCTCTCTCTCTCTCTCTCTCTCTCTCTCACTCACTCACTCTCTCTCTAACCTATGGATGCAGATCACATTGACCGAACCACGTTAAATATTGTTTTTGGTTTTTGATTTAATTTTTTAAGAAGTTTTATTCCGCAAGTTTCACCAAAGTTTGTTTGACGTTTGTTAGAAGTGCTTAACTTGTTTTGTTGTCATCCCAACAACCAAGGGTAACCCATTTGTTATCAACACTCTACATATAGCATGATGGCGATACCTTAAAAATATCAAAATAAAGCTTCGATCAAAACAGATATCTACATAGGAGGGGGGGGGGGGGGGGGATAAGGCACAAGTAAAACATTTTTAACCTAAGATGTTCTTGTTTTGATATAGAAAAACAGATAAATATGACTCGGAAAAAAATATTCTTATAAGTTACACGATTAGCTTTTTAAGAAGTTAAAATTATATGGTTTTAGCTCAAATATATATTTTTTTATTATTTATAAATTTCATATTAATTCGATTACAAAAAACCTCAAAAATTGTCATTGTGGTTTCTCGAAATCTAGGATATAGTATTATAGTCTATAAATTTAAAAAACCTCATATAAATGGTTTTGTGGTTTTAAATTTATATCATGGTTGGTCCCTCACCCACCTAAAAAAGACTTCTATACCCTTTTCATTTCTTTTATCTTTTTCTTTAATTAAAATTATTTTAAATAAAAAAATAAAATAAAATAAATAACACCCCTACAAATCTTCTTCCCCTAAATCGGAATACATTTTCTTATATTTTTCTAGTAGTTTTCATCTAGTTTTCTGAAACCGTTCTATACAAATTGTTGTTAAAAATGCTTTAAATTGTATGTATGTAACGTGTGATCGTGTGATGGAGTTATTGGTTTCTGAAATTTTAAGAATGGTTTAGCTATGGTTTTGCATTATAACTTTGTTTTGATTGTATAATTTCAAGTAAAATTAAGCTATTTGAAGTTGCTTGCTTTTTCGTCATGGTTATTATTCGTCGATAGAATCAATTTAGCGATATATAGCTGAAATGTTGTGTACAAGCAGTTTTAGTATGTCGTTTGGAACATTCCGATCAATCTTGGGATTTGGAAACGATCATTATCAAATTTCATACAGATGTAGCACCTGGTTCCTGGTATGTAAATCTTATTTGAGTATTTTCCATTTTTAGCCTTGGACTCGGCGAGTCATAGGTCCGACTCGCCGAGTAGGGACGAGACCCAGGACACGTTTAAGTTGGCAACTCAGCGAGTCCATATCCTGGACTCGGCGAGTCACCGTTGTTGGATGAAACCCTAAGTTTCAGGGGTTTGCACCCTATTTAAACCTCATGTCCGCCCCTTGCCAACCCCCAGAGCTCCCAACCCTCGTTCTAAGCTTGTTCCTTGAGAGTTTGAGGCTATTGTGTGTGTTCTTGAAGGCTTTTGAGGCAAGAAGGGGAAGAAGATCAAGAGGAAGGAGAGCCATCCAAGCATCATTGTGTTTTTCAGCAGTTTCATTGAGGTATATCCCATTTTCCCCCTGTTTCTATGCTTAGAGGTTTCATTTAAGACATTCTTGAGCCATTCCCCAAGCTAGTATGTGCATAATGTTTCGTAATAAGTTGATTGGCCTCTAGATCTAAGCAAGATTGAGCTCCAGGAGCTCAGATCTGTTAGCTTTATGGACCCATGTGGCTTGTTCATCCTAGATCTACCCTTTTGAGGCATTTTGAACCCTAAAATCCATATTGGTGAATATCTACACGTAAAGTTGGAAACTTTACGTGTGATTCGTGTCTTAGAAGCCCAGATCTATGAATGGCATGGACTGAAATCGAACAAATCGGTGTATTTAATGGATGCATGGCGACGACTCGGCGAGTCGTTCATGTGACTCGGCAAGTCTGCTCGCGAGTCACCGAATTTGTTCCTTTATGTTGTATCGAGTTTGAGCAGTGAGTCACAGGGTGTGACTCGGTGAGTTGGAAGCTGAACTCACCCATGGTAGGACTCAGCGAGTCATGGCCTAGCTCGGCGAGTCCAAGGCAATCTTCATAGATCAAGAACAGACTCGGCGAGTTGTTCATACAACTCGGCGAGTCTAAGCATGAGTGTTCATCGGATGAAGATGAACTCGACGAGTTGTTCATACAACTCGGCGAGTAGGACGAAGAACTTCAATGTCAGTTTAGAAGAAGAACTCGTCGAGTCATAGCCTAACTCGACGAGTAGAATCAGGGACTCAGGACAATCGTCTGGATAGGGACTCGGCGAGTTGGAGAGCCAACTCGGCGAGTCGGGTCAACTGAAAGTTGACTCTGACTTTGACTTAGGGCTAGACCAGGGGTAAAATGGTCATTTTACCCAAAGGACAGTTAGCAGTGTGTGATTGAGTATGTTGTGGGAATTGCAGTCGGAGGATTTCCGGAGCAGCAGTCAGTCAGTTCCCGATCAGTTCAGCAGCTACTTTGAGGTGAGTTACCTTCCAGTAGCGGTGGGTCTAAGGCCACAATGCCGGCCCACCAGTAGGAGATGTGTGATTAGATGATTGTCTTTGTGATATTCATCTAGGGTTGCTACTACTGTGTTATGTTATGTGTTAGTGACAGTAGGGGGAGATAGTCCCCCAGAATACCGGTCGATAGGGCCGAAGGGGCGGTTATGCCCAGTCATGCTAGATAGACTATGTGATATATGTGTTATGTGGTAGTAGTAGGGGGTGAAATAGTCCCCAGGATCCGGTCGAAAGGAACGAAGGGGAGGCCAGCACCCAGATATGCTAGGCAGTATCCGGTCGAAAGGACCGAAGGGGAGGCCAGCACCCAGATATGCTAGGCAGTATCCGGTCGAAAGGACCGAAGGGGAGGCCAGCACCCAGATATGCTAGGCAGTATCCGGTCGCAAGGACCGAAAGGGAGGCCAGCACCCAGATATGCTAGACAGTATCCGGTCGAGAGGACCGAAAGAGTAAGTCGGGCACCCAGATATGCCTGACAAATTTACGTATGTTATGTGATTATGTAGTATGTGGTACAGTGGGGGAACTCACTAAGCTTTGTGCTTACGTTTTACAGTTTTGTTTTCAGGTACCTCTTCTTCGAAGGGGAAGGAGCTGGCGCGGTAGCGGCACATCATGCACACACTCTGGTTTCCGCATTTACGAGATTCACTGGGATTTGTACTCTGATATTTTGATGGGTTGTATGGTTGGCTTTTTAAACATGGTTTACGTTGTGTTGTGGTGTGATCAAACAATGTTTTAATTATTAATGTTTTCTAAAGTAATGTTTTAAAACGAAATTTTCGTAATGTTTTAAAACGAAATTTTCGGACGTGAAAAATTAGGTCGTTACTTGATCGTGAACTTGAAAGGTTCCATGATCAAGTATTCACTTAGTTCATGCATTTTCATCTTCTTCTCCCGATGAATTTCTCTCTATTTTTTGGATATCTAATGGACGCATTCATTACTTGTATGGCCTTGGTTATGGCTAGTGATGAACGTGTTTCCATGTAAGCATGATTCATTCAAACGAATCTACCACGTCATTAGGGTTCATCGGTTATCTTATAAGAGAGAGAGAGAGAGAGAGAGAGAGAGAGAGAGAAGTCTTTTAGTTGGGTGACAGACTAACCATGATATAAATTGAAAACCACATGGACCATATATGAGGTTTTTAAACTTAAGGATTGTATCCAAGATTTTGAGAAAACCACATGACCATTTATGAGGTTTTGTCTACATTTAAATAAGCAAACGTAGAAAATTATTGAAAGTACTAAGCGAATATCTACGCGTTGTACGAAATAAAATTATATAGCTAACGTTTTATTAATCATAGGTCATTGAAAATATATATGTCATTTATATTAACTAAAAATAATAATTATTATCACATTTAGACATTTAGTTAATGTAACATTATAATTAATTTGAATAATAGATAATACAACACTTACTAAAATCGAATCATTTAATGGTATACACTCATATTTTACTTGTGTATAAGATTAGTTATATTTCTCATCTATTTTAATTAACTAATGTTATGATTTATTATCTTTAAAAAAAAATTGAGAGTGTTTTAATTTCATCATGATGATTTTTTTAATTATAATTATTGTTTGTGATGTAACATAATTTAATTTATAACTTTATGTTATTTTAACTATTAGTATTACAAATTAATTTTTTTTTAAAAAAAAAATTAACTGGATTTTAGTTATTATAAAAAATATATTTTTGATGATCTTTTAGTTAATTTTACTTTTAGATTTATGTTGATGGGAACTAATATTTTTCTTTTAACTCTTGTAAAAAATGTACATTAAGTTTTTTTTAAACTTTATATGATATTTTACTTTAGGTTTTAAATTTTACATTATATTGTTAAGTTTGTTTGATATATTAATTTAGGTTATGCATTTAATGTTATATTGAAGTTATTGATAATTCAAGTTGTCTTCCATTTATAATAATATTTATAATTAATAACATATTTAAGTTTGAAAGTATTTATATGAAAATATGAAAAGTTGGGAGTTTCAAATTAATATGGTGAAAGGAAAAAATGTTTCCTTTATAAGTATAGTATCACCGACCTCCCTTCTGCTTCCTTTCTCATTATTAGATGATCCCCAAATCCTCCTTCGACCACCCCAGGTTGTGGTCATCTTTCCCGGCGGTCAACAGCCCTTGTCGAGCTCCAAGTGTCGAGGGAAAATCGTGATCAAACACCGACTGCTTCCCATCCGTTATTCTTTCTATATTCCCAACCAAATATCAAACCCAAGCATCCATTTTTTTTTGAAGAAGAAGAAAGAACAAGGGAGCTGCCGAAGCAGCCCCCATCGCATCCACTACAAGAATCGAAAGAGGAACAACCATCCCCGGCAAAGCAATAGACGACAACCCTGATGTCGCTCCTCTTTTTCCCTATTTCTTCTGATCGAGCACCGGTGATGCTCTTCCTGACCGACAACTGCTGCTACCTAGTTCCCATCCTCTTATAACCCACCGAAGCCTCACACTCCTCTTCCCTTTCCGTTTGGAAAACTTGATATGTTGGTAACGATCGTGAAGCCTCTATTTTTGGCTTCATAGAGAGAGAGAGATAGAGAGAGAGAGAGAGAGAGAGAGTTAATATTAAATACTTATTATTTTTCTTTTTAAAAAAAATAATAAGACAAAACTTCATAAATGGTCCTTGTGGTAGTGAAAAGACAGAAATGTCTTTCTCTTAACGGCCAAAAGCTAACGACGTTAGCGAAAAGGACCATTTGTTAAAAGTTTTGAAACCACAGGGATCATCTGTGAGATTTTTTGAACTTAAGGACTAAACTTGATATTTTTGAAAACCACAGGGACCATTTTTGAAGTTTAATACTTTTAATATATAAAGTTTATATATTAATAAATATTACTTTATTGGATTATTAATTTATTTTAGTTAATTCTTTTTAAAAATCATTTTTATTGGATTAATTAGTATTATATATTAACAAATATTATTTTATATATAATATTTATATACTAAAATATTATTTTATTGGATAACTAATTTTTTTTTAAAAAAAATAATTGTTTTCTTTATAAATTTCAAAAAAAAAAAAAAAAAAAAAAAAAAACTCACATGCCTCGCCTATCCTAATTTATTTAAATATTTGATAGATAATATATTTTGGACAATACCAACACCATCCTAATTTATTTTAAAAAATCTCACCCACCCAACTATTATCGGACCAGTATTGGTGGTGGTGTCGTCTAAAATAGGTTATCTTCCAAATATTTAAAATAAAGTAAGAGAGGTAAATATGTGAGATTTAACCAAAAAAAATTATCTAATAAAAATGAAATTAAAAAATAATAACTATAAGAAATTAATAGTCCAATATAGTAATATTCCCTCTAAACAATATCTATAATTCATTTTTAACTTTTGAAGTCTTAATAATCCAATATAGTAATATTTACCATTTCTATAGTTCACTTTTGACTTTTGAAGTTTTTATTCATCAACTTTAATTTTAAATATTTTTGTTTTTGATATATAATACATGATGTAAAACTTATTAATAAATAGTGTTTTAAATATCTTTTCATTATTATTAGTTTTATAAAGTAATTTACAACACAAATAAAAATATTTAATGTCATACTTAAAAAAAAGACTTCAAAAATCAAAAGTGGATAATAAACATGGAACGAATAGAATATTTATTAAGTTATAAATAATACATATTATAAATAATATTTATTAATATATAATAATCTAATAAAAAACGAAGAAAAAGAATTAAAACAAATTAATAGTCCAACAAAATAGCATTTTATTATATATAAATATTATAGATTACAAAAATATTTATTAATATATAAATATTATATATTTAAAATAACATATATTACTATATACTAATCCAATAAATAAAAATAATCCAATAAAAATAAATTAATAAATTAATAAACCAATAAAATAATATTTATTAATAAAGAATATTCTAATAAAAAAATATATATAATAATTCAACAAATAAATAAAATAAAATAAAAATGCAAAATTGGTCCATGTAATTTGATAAAAATACACAATTTCAAAAATAGTAGTTGGTGATAATTATCATTTTGAAAAAATTAACACTGAAGCTTTTAAAATTAGCAGGATAGACCAAAACTATACAAAATATCCAAAATTTGACAACTAATGCACCACTAAGCGTTTTTTTACCTAAACTACATGTTTTATTTTTAAGATGATCATTTTTGCAATTTTGTCTAATTATAATAAGGAAAATAAGAGATTTAACAATTAAAACTAAAATTAATTTTTTTTTTTTGCACATAACGATAGCAAATAACAATCTCACAAATCATATATATATATATATATATATATATATATATATATATATATATATATATATATATATATATATGAGGGTTCAATTGAGAAAAAATGCTGAGAATGAAGGAATCATTCTCAGCCACACATTTGTTTTGCCATAAAACACTTAAGCGTACCGCCGAAAATGGATAACGGATACACATGTATTTCCCAACCAAACATGTTTCCTTAAATTATGCTAATCAGTATCTTAATACATATAAAAATATTTTTTTTGTGTTTTTTTTATTTTAAGAAAGTTAATTTTATCAAAAAAAAATATGTTAAATATATCAAAAGTCGTAAATTAATACACGTTTTATTCATATATGAATATAACATGTGACAAGAATTGATGTAAACTGTAAAAAGTTTATATATGTTATATTTATATATGAATAATATTTAAACTATAAAAAAAATCATACTTATTATTCATAATTGAATGAATAACGAATGTATATGATAAATTTTTATTCATTTATGAATAATAATAACTGAAACTATAAAAAAAAATTATCTTAAAACTATATCAATATGGATGTCAATTAATAAAGATTAAAAAATTATGAATTTTGATATGTTTAAAATCATTTTTTGATAAAAATAGTTCCTTAAAAATTAAAAAAATGAAAAAAAAAACTATTTTTTTTTATATATATTAAGGTAATAATTAACATAGTTTAAGAAAACATGTTTTGTTGGAAAATACATGTGTATTCCTTTCCAATTTCCGCCAGTATGTTGGAGGCGTTTGAAGCAAAAATAAATTATTGACTATGAATGATTCCTCCATTTTCAACCTTTTTTTATTTTCTGAATTGAATATATATAGCACTAAAAAATTAATAGGAACCGGAAAAACAAATATTGGCCCTAAGATTAAAAAAATAAATGGTTAATATTTATTTTTATTTATTGTTAAAATCCCGAGATGATATAACATATTGGTAATTTTCAGCAAAGATTAAATATTTAGATGGTTAAAAGGGAAAAAAATAATAATAATAATAATTGACTTTTAGCCATGTACACGCGACTACACACCCTCTTCCCCCTCTGTCGCATGTCACATTCTTACTAGTCAAAGACATTTTTACACTCATTTTGTTTTTCAGCTATTTTTTTTTTTCCTTTAAAATAATCTAAACCAAAATTATTAAAATTTAATTATTTACAAAATGAGCATAGACATGAAACTTTCAAAAAAAAAAATTACAACTTTTTTAAAACCAAAAAGAAAATCTCCAAAATTCTTTATATTTTACATGATACTTCTACTCACTATAGTAATGACTTTGTAAAAAAAATAATAACTTTTTGAAGTGTCCATATGTTAATTTTAAAAAATATTTGTTTTTACAAAATATAGCGAAATTTTTTTGTCTAAATTAAAAAAATTATGCATCTTACTATTTTATTGAGTTTGTGAAAAAAATCTGAAATATTATTCTTAAGGATACCTATGTTTTGTTTATTAGATTCCAAGTATTGTTAAGGTTGCCTAAAATATTGATGTATATAATAATATTAACAACATTTTGTTGGTGACTCGTCATATTAGTGTTAGGCGCCACCATATAAAATGTCTCAAGTTCACGCATTGGTTAGAGAAATTTGTGTTAACACAGTCGAAAAAGAGTTGTGCTTAGTATCACCAAAGGTGATCCCTTACTTCAAAACCTCGTAATATCAAGGTGTCACGATGCTTGGTGACAAACCCAGTTCTATGTAATAATATGTATTTTTGAGACATTATTTTTTTTAAACTATATATATATATATATATATATATATATATATATATATATATATATATATATACATGTTCAGGTTCATTTGAGACAATTCTAATTTTGTAAGATCGTGAGACCAAATCTAAAAATAATTTTAAAATGCAAAATAAATGCAAAAATCCAAATATTCTTTTTTTAAATATTATTTTTGGAACTTGAATTAACTAAAAAAATAATAAATAAATAAATAAAATCCCGTTTTTTTTTTTTTGAAAAATACGTGAAATATTCTAAATAGAATATTACACTGATATATTCTAAAAAATAATTTTAAAATGCAAAATAAATAGAAAAATCTAAAAAAAAAAATTTAATATTATTTTTGGAACTTAAATTAACTAAATAAATAAATAAATAAATAAATAAAATTCTATTTTTTTTTAAAATACGTGAAATATTCTAAATAGAATATTACACTGTACATATTTTTAAAAAAAAAATTAAATGCAAAATAAATGGAAAAATCAAAAAAAAAATTATTTTCGGAACTTGAATTAACTAAAAAAATAATAAAATAAATAAAATAAATAAAAAAATACGTCTTACGGTCTGACAAAATTAGGCCGTCTCACATGAACCTATATATATATATATATATATATATATATATATATATATATATATATATATATATATATATATATATATATATAAGTTAAATAGAGAACCATAATTATGGATCTTTCAAGAACTCAAATCTTTTTTTCAATTTCTAAAGCTTATTTTTTATTGGAAAAAAAATCAAAAAATATCTAAATTCATATATTAACATTGTGAATGTGAAAAATATTTTCCGGATTCACGTTGTGAATTTTCGAAGATTCACATTGTAAATTTGACGTAAAAAAAAATTAAAAAAAAAAATCGAATTTTATACTATTCGAAAAAGGATAAAAGGTTATGAATTTCTGTATTTTTAGTTTTTTTTTTTGATAAAAAATAAATTCCAAAAGTTGAAAAAAAGATTGGTTCCTTGGTTAATTATGGTTCTCTATTGAAACTCATCCTATATATATATATATATATATATATATATATATATATATATATATATATATATATATATATATATATATGTTCAGGTTCATTTGAGACCAATGTAATTTTGTGAGATCGTGAGATCAAATCTAAAAATAATTTTAAAATGCAAAATAAATGGAAAAATCCAAAAATTCTTTTTTTAAATATTATTTTCGGAACTTGAATTAACTAAAAAAAATAAAAATAAAAGTTAAAAAATCCCGTTTTTTTTTTAAAATACGTGAAATATTCTAAATAGAATATTACACTGACATATTCTAAAAAATAATTTTAAAATGCAAAATAAATGGAAAAATCTAAAAAAAAAAAATTTAATATTATTTTTGGAACTTGAATTAACTAAAAAAATTCTATTTTTTTTTTAAAAATACGTGAAATATTCTAAATAGAATATTGCACTGTACATATTTTAAAAATAATTTTAAAATACAAAATAAATGAAAAAATCAAAAAATTCTTTTTTAAATATTATTTTCGGAACTTGAATTAACTAAAAAAAATTTAAAAAAAATAAAAAATAAATAAATAAATGCGTCTCACGGTCTCACAAAATTAGACCGTCTCACATGAACTTAACCTTATATATATATATATATATATATATATATATATATATATATATATATATATATATATATATATATATATATAAAATGGTATAAAATAGTATTTTTCTTTTTTTATTTTACAATTTTAATGCTTTGTTACCTTCCAAGTCATTTTCCCCTTTTAGTATACCACACGATGAAAAGGGAAAAATACTCAAAAAGAATAAACGTGAGAATTATTTTATTTTTTGTGCTTTATGACAATAACAACGTACTGATGAATAATTCAAACCAATAGTTACAATAGGAATAGACATGAAAACATTTCTCTTTCTTTAGATTAAAATTACGTGAGAATCAATTAGAATAACTTTGATAAAAGTTTACAAAGGTACAATGGTTTTTTATAAAATAAATGTGTTAGAAATTTTATTTTACGTTTGTGACAGTTGGAAAAAGGTTATCATGGCATCTCCAACCAACCCCACCACAAAGATTGTTTTTCACTCTATTTTCATTTTCTACCTCACTCTATTTTTCACACTATTTAGGTATAAAATAATACTATAACACCAATTTTGATATGTTACGCTATTTTGGTATAAAATAATAATATAACACCAATTTGGATATGTTATATTGGTCCTTCGGCTTTTGGTTATAAGTTTTGTACTAATATATTTTTGAAAGTTATAGAACAAAAAACATATAAATAAGAATGTAAATACCAAATAAGTTGAAAGATGTTTTTGACGATCTATAAAAAATTGGATACACCAAGGAGGCGAGGAATATACTTTAAAATGGTGTGGGATCAAATATTAACATTATTTGCATCATTTTTCACATTATTTTGGTGTAAAAATATTAAATAGTATTTTGACGGAGATGGTCTTATAAGCCCTTTACTTTTTGCATAAGGTTTTCGACCATACAACTTGATCAATGAGCTTAAAATGTCTATTACAGTTTTAAACCTATCTTTTAAGGGATTCATCTTTTTTTATTCATGTATCGAATAGCAAGTGATTTCCTACTTATGCAATGTGATTCGACAAAGTAGTATAGACTTTTGGTGTGAGGTGGAATATCTATATTCATCGTGTGTTTTAGTTGATTGTATATACTCCTTGTTTGTCGTAGTTGTTTTCCCTTATAGCTTATAATTCCAAACATTTATATTTAGTTGTTGAAAATACAAACATTTGGTTAGTATTACCAATTGCTTATGTTAGTCCTTCATTTTTTTACAACTCACATGCCTCATGCTCTACTCATAAATCCACAAGCGACTTGAATCCTCTAACCCTTTTTCAACACCCTTTGGTGGTGCAATTAGTCTATAACAATTTAGATGTTCATAACAATATTATATATTTGTGTAAGTGCCTTTAACGCACATATAATAGTGTTTTTCAAACGAAATTTTGTGGTAATGATTTAATTTTTTTTCTATTTTGTGCAAAAAGCAACCCCTTCCCGTGACATCTCTTACTTAACAACCCTCTTATCCATGCTCATATTAACCCCAAATTGTTTTCGGTGTTATTTCTATATGAACATAGTTTCGAAATCTTGAACTGAAATCATTCTATCTCCATAATCATACCTTGATTTGAAAACCATAATAGGCTTTTTTGAAGCACCAAACTCATATGTAGCCTCGTACTCATGAATATGCTTAATTTTTCTATCAAAGAGCCTACTCACTACTCGAGGGTTTCTTACAACACAATCTAAAGTCACCATAGTATAGAGAAAAACTATTTCTTGTACTCTAGCAAAAAAAAAAAAAATTCTAACCGCCAAAATAATATTTGTTGTCAACTAGCTCAACAACATAACTAAAAGCACGGATTTTGTACACAACCTAAACTTAATGTTACGATACGTTAAGCATAACTTTCTTTTCTCTCCTCCAAATAAAGGGCAAATCTAGAAGATGTTTCATTATTCCTAACATCATATACTCCAAAACGTTTTTCAAGATTCAAGAAACTATGATTTCATTTACAAGATAAGACATGGCATTATCAAAATCTTCACATCTCACAACAAATAAAGGAAAGTAATCTAACGTTACCTTAGCTAAAAACTACCCATAATCGATAGGTATGGTTAATTTGCAAGCTGTTAGAAGAACTTTGAAATTGAGATCAAAAACGTCATTTGTGAGAGGGAAAAGCCATCAATGCCTCTTTATTATGGTCAATTTTTTTACTCAATATTTAGTTTTATTTCATTGACCGTTTACAATATAACATAAATCAGACTCAACTTATTTACAGATAAGTTGGTCAAAATTACTCTTTCTACAAGGTTTGATAATACGGTTTATTTTTTATTTTTTATTTTTTTGCAAAAACAAAATTTATAAATCAAAATGAATATATGTGTACATCTCTATAATACTGTTAATAAAACTGTTGTCATTCTGGTTGATAAAATCTTAAGTATCACTTTCATGTTAAGTTGATGTCACTGTATAGCCACAAAGTATTACCATTTTGTTGTTTAAATGATTAATAATATTCATTGATTTAACCCAACCTAATAAACCAGTAATAAATTTGATGTGGTCCCCACCCAAAAACAACATTGTGTGAAAGAGACGCACGCACACACACACACACACACACACACACACACATATATATATATATATATATATATATATATATATATATATATATATATGTGTGTGTGTGTGTGTGTGTGTGTGCAAAGGCATGCACATGGGCAAACTCAAGTTGAGAACTTTTCCACCCATTAAAATTTTGAGCTTCATTTTAAGTAGGTAAATATTAAAGTAGATATAGATCTCCCAACCATTATTCCCCATGATAGTATGAAATAAAATGATAGAAGTAAACTATTTGTTGCACATAATTATTTGTTAACAAAGTTGATTTACCTCCATTTTGTAGTGTTCCAAAACAGAGATGGCACAATGGCCAGGTCAGATGGATAATTTTTAATACTGGTCAAAAGGGGGTCTTTTGGTGCTTCATTTTAAGTTTCTACATCTGACCCATCAAATATAACCCAAAACCATTTTAGAAAAAGGAAGATAGGCCACGAAAGCTTTAAGAGATGCATATAATGTAAAACATACCTCAATCGGCTCCAATAAGTCTTCACTTCAGAATGTTTGTCCAGCAATGCATAAGTGCCTCATCCACACTTCATACTCAAGAATATGAAGAAAGTCTAAAGTTTTTTTTTTTTTTTGATTTTTTTTTTTTTTGTTGTTGTTTTTGTGGTGAAGGCATCAAAAGCGTTAGTTAACAAAAGTTAAAAAAGCTAGTGATGGCTTTAATGTCCAACAGCTCACCACACTATTAAATCTGTAGCATCAAAGCAAAACAAGATTAAAAATCAGCCTATATATATGTATCATGTATGTCTCTTCTGTCCATTGGTCGACACAACCAACTGTTTATACTTTATATTATTGTTGTATGAATATAATAAAATTATAAAATCATAAACCGCTAACCAAAACCAGGTTGATACAAACAAAAAAAAAAAAGCAAATAGAAGTGTACCAGGTAAGATTGCCTAAGTGGGCCCACTCTGCAGCTTCAAATTCAAATACATATTTACCTTCAACTTGTTCCTCTAGTGCACTTTCTTCCTCTTATTCTGATGATGATTATAGTCATTATCTGAAGAACCATTGACCATCTGCCACATGTCCTTCCTTTTATTATCCCTTCTTCTTCTTGAATGACGGCTACAGCTACAATCACTGTCTGATTGATGATGATGATGATGATCCTTTTTGTCATTTTTATGCCTCACTTCATCAGACCTATGGTTACCACTATGCACATCTTCTACTTCTACCCCTGAAATTGATCTATCTGTATGATATGATCCATGTTCTCGACCATCATTTGTGGAATGAGAACGTTTTTCATATCTTTTATTGTGACTAGATTTGATGTTTAGATCTTGATGCTTGTCTTTTTGTAACTTTCTGCCATGGCTTTCTTCTGAATTGCTCACAGCCTTTCCCCTGTTTCTTTGGGATTTATATTCTGATGATCTAGAAACCTCATGGGAGTGAGACTCATGGCGCTTTGGGATTCCATTTCCATCATCTTCATAATCGGAAGACCTTTGTCTATAATAAATAAATAAATAAATAAATAAAAAGCTCTTATTACTTCTGATTGTTATATTTGATCCCAATAGGCCAATACTTATGTTATATGGCTAAAAAGTTACCTCTTTTCATGACCATATTTCATTCGGTTATCAAAGTCAAAATTCTCAGGGCGTCTTGTGGAATGTTCAGCTCTGGGTCCTACAGGTGCCATACCTCCCATTCTTGTAACACCACTGCAACCAAATAAGGTACATGAAATTGTAGAGTGATCTTGAATATGATGAATAAAAGCAAGAAGTAAGAACTAAGAACAACAAAAGTGTTCATATAAGAAAGTTGACCTAGGAACAGGAAAGGTGGCATATGTAGATGCAACATAAGGTGGAACTCCATAAGGTGTGACAGGACTAAAAGGGAGCATCCCTGGATTTCCATACATATTCATGTAAGGATTGAATGGAGGGAACATGGGAGTGGGAGTGTTCCAGTAGGGCATCGGGTAGCCTGACACACCTCCTTGAAACATATGATCCCCTGAAAATGAAATTCACAAAAACTAGATCATCAAAACATAGTCTTGACAAAATTTAATACCATGTTAAAGAAAAAAAAAAAAAAAATTTACCTTTATGATACATATGATGTTCATTGGAAGCAATAGGGCAATCTCTTATGAAATGGGTTGGAGAGCCACACATGTAGCAGGTTCGCCCCCCCTGATTTCATCAAGGTAAGATTTCATAATTCATATTGTATGTAATATACTAATATGTATGATTATGAATTTAAAAATGAAAAACCATGGATTTTGAAATAAGTACCATGTTGTTTCTATTGTTAACTGCATAACCTCGATCTCCACCTGACAAAGTAAGTCGTTTAAGGAAATTTTGTTAAAGATGGGGTTGAGTTAATACTAATAACTTAAAAAAGTCGGTGTTTTGAAATTGTGAGCATATATGGAATGAGAAACACCTTCATTTGGCATGCAAACTTGAGGTATAACAGGCTGGTTTTCACCTTCAGAGTCCACAGAAGGTGTCAGATCTTCATGAGCATCTCTATTCTTAACTTTAAGCAAAGGAGTTGAATTCAAGAAATTATTTTTCTTGTTTAGTGACTCGTAAACAGACTCTCCCATATTCTTCTGATTTGGTCCTTTCTCAGAATAAAGCAAATCCAATTTCCTTTTAGTGGAAACCTCCTTTCCCTGAATACCAGATTCTCCATCTGAAATAAAATTTCAAAGAATCATATATAAGCTATAGAGGATTTTTTTTTTATTATTATTATTTTTGGCCAGGGAATATCAGAAGTCTCACCTGGGACATATTTCTGCAAATCATTTTCAGGAGCAGTGGCAAGAATCTGGGATTCAAGAAAATGCTCAATGGCATGCCTGAGGGATAAATTTGGTAGCAAGTGTTCTACCCTGTACTTGGTGGAAGAACATTTAGGGCACCTTGCCTTCAATGGAAGTACATCACAGATGCCTGTGAAGGGAAAAAATATATATATACATGTCAAAGATAAATGTAATTAGTTGCAGCAATAATATCATCTTAAGAGCTTACATTTTTTACAGAAGCTATGCTGACAGCATGGTATCATCACAGCATTCTTGAAATATGTGTTGCAAATAGGACATCTTAGTTCTGATGGCAAGTCAACTTTTTCCAGATCAATACCCTTTGTGTTCGCCACCCTATGATGTCAAGTCAAATTTTGAAAAGGAAACAAAAAGATTGTTTAGAATTTAGATAGTCTGAAGGAATTAGTTTATCAGAAACTAAAAATCATATGGCGCAAACTTTACTTTTCCAATTCTATGTGTTCAACATCTACAGGTTCAGGCTTCTTCGCTAGAATTATTTCTTCAGGTTTGTTGTGATTGATACCTGCATTTTTCATGTAGTTAGAGCGACTCATCAAAAAAATATATATTATAATGTGTTGCTTTAAAATGTTATATACCTTTCGGAATATCTTCACTAAGCTCACTTGCTTCAGGTTTATGATGTCTTAACCTGAAGAAAGCAGAATATCAGATGCCAATATCATAACAAGAAAAGACAAGATGATTTAGAGTATTAGTTAATCAACAGTACATATCAATTAATGAAATAGAAGATAGTGTGAAACGCTTATCACTCATACATAATTACATATACTCCCACAGCTTCCAACAGAACAATCTTACACACCCACATACACCAAAGAAATCATATTGTAAAAACTCATCAAACGATTAATTGATATCATGTAGCTAAAAGATATATTAACAGGGTTTTATGAGTTAGATTCAATTCAATAAAAGAACGTAAAACTTACATAGCTAAAGGCACCGGTTCTGCTGGAACCCTCTTTATGATAACACTCGAACCACTAGGAATCTTGAAGTCATCGTCATTGTACTCTAATAACTCAAAAATAAAACACGGAATCAAAAACCAAAAAAAAAAAAAAAAAATTAAACCAATTGATGATACATGAAAACACATTATTCTGCTGCACCTGTACGCCAACACAATTTGCAGAAGAAGACTTGTAGCTCAAGAATATGAAAACTAAAAAGCAGGTAGACTAATAAAATTAGAAAATAACCTTGACCAGTGAGGTCATCTAAGAAGACGAGATCAAAATCTTTATGGCATATGCCGCTTAACTTCTTCTGACAGAGAATTTTAGATCTGAGTTCTCCCACCGATATGTAGGGTTTACCACCATCGATTTCGATTGTATCGAAATTGACAGAGCTTCTGAATTTGAATCTGATAGACATAACCTATATTGTTTCTGATGAGTACGATTCGATGTCGCTATACGATTTTGGAATGAGAACTTGAGAAAGGAGGAAAGAAGAAGGAGAATTATGAAGAAGAGGAACTGTTCTGTTTGTCGATAGAGGAGATGGGAAGGTGCGTTTCACGTGACACGTGCAACATGTTGCATCTCATTTCGTCAAACAAACATTTGACCAACTATATTTTGGCATTACATTTAAAAAGATAATGACAAAAACATCCAAGTGAGATTGGTGTCATAATTCTTTTTAAAAATTTATATATCAAGATAATTCACTTCCTTAAATATATTTGTGATTTGCCAAATATGTACAAAGTAAGGCTTAATGCAAGGGTAGTACAACAACTAAAACAACTAATATGTATAGTATGAGTTTTTATAGAAGTACTAGATTGATGTTGATGTAGAAATGTATTAATTCCATGAGAAGTAATTGATTCAGTCTTTAAAATTGATTTGGATGTTGAAAGTAGTAACAAATCAGTTTAATTAAGATTAAGAATCCATTTCTAGAAAAAAAAAATATATGTCAATAAGATAAATTATTATACTAATACTTTCACATAAAACTTCGCTATTTAATATGTATCAATAAAGGTGTTGGGTTGGAAACATTATCAATAAAGAAAGTGTTGGGTTGGAAAAAATATAAATACAGACCAAAAAAGAAGGGGATAAAAATACAATTGGAAAGAAAGAAACAGACAAAAGATATACATATAAGTGTTTAAAGAAGATTGTTGGAAATAAAGCATAGAGACACAAAAACGATATGCAAATAAGTTAAAAAAAACATGTTAAGGTTGGACTCCCGGCCTTGATGGCAAAGAAAACAGATGCAACAATTAGGACGATCGTAGCTAATAGTTTTAAAATGACACACAATACTTGTAAAATGAATAGGAGTGGTTATTGTTCATACAACAAACAGATAAATAAATAAGGTTAAGAAAGTTTTAAAAAAATAAATGATGGGGGCCAAATCCTCACCCTTAATGGTAATGAAAACACACAAAATCATTAGGTATGGACACTATTATTGTCAACGCGTTGGTAATTGTTTGTGATAATTGATGTATAATCTGAGCATTTTATTTCATCGATCATGTTTCATAAGCATCGCTCTTTTGTCTCTATCTACAAAAAAAATTATGAGTTGTCGAAAATAATAAACTTTTAGGGAATCATATTAACATAATAATATTTTTTATCAACTATAAAACTTATCAAAACGGGAAGTGTACATATACTAATTAATGGCATCTACGATGTTTAAACTTAAAAAGTTTTACTTTTGTGGCATCATCTTTCCACCAATTTTTATTTTACAAAAATTTTTATCAATATAATCTCCAATTGTTAATCTTGAAAGTTTTTTTTTTCTAAATTTATCATTTATCAAACTTAAATGTTTTATTAAGTACCATTGTATAATTTAACATTATACTAACACATGTCATATTTTTTGGTATTGAGTAGCTTTTTCGAAAAAACTTGTCAACTAATTGTATTTTACTAAAATATGTAAAACAATCACATCTTATTTTCAACAAGTGATTATGTCAACATATTCATTAATATCTTCAAGATTTTCAGATAACGTTTTAACAACACATTTGAAATTTATTTTAGAATAACGTCAACAATCTTTGACCACCAAAATTTTTAACATACAAATGCCATTAAGTGGTTTCTTAATATGGACAATGATAGAGTATAAAAAGGCAATAAGATTCAACATGCAATAATCTTATATTCAGGTTACATATTTTTTTCCAAAACAATCTCATTTAACATGTTTGTTACATTATTTTAGGGGTTTTCCACATTTAATTATTCCTCGCCAGGTTTAATTTCATTTAAGTGAGTAAAACATTTGGTTAATGATATTTTCTTTCTATTTGATGTTTTTAATCATAAAACTCATAGTAAATTGTTATAGTTTCAACATTTACCTTTTTCAATTTATTATTTAAACCATACTTCAATTATCCACATTATTAAAATTTGATTATTTATTTGTTGGTTAAATAAGATTATATATATATATATATATATATATAGAGAGAGAGAGAGAGAGAGAAAAAAAAAAAAAAAAAGGGTGAGATCGGTTGAGAACTCATAGTTTCTCGAGAACCCGAGAACTAAAAGTAGAGCGTTGGATCAAAATTAATTCATTAAGGACATGATCGTCATCTTACCAATCTCATTTAATGTTTAATTTTTGTATTATTGAATATATTAATATAAAAGTCTAAAATTTTACATAATAAATCAAAATTTTTGATTTTTTTTACAAATAGTATTTTTCAATTTAAAAAAAAATATAAATTTTTTAATTCTTTATAGAAAACATGAACCTTAAAAAAAATATATATTTTTTTAAAACTACGATTTTTTCAAATAAAATGCAACTTTTTATTTTTTCAATATATATATATATATATATATATATATATATATATATATATATATATATATATATAAACTGCACTTTTTCAAAAAACTGCAAAGAAAGCTGCATTTTTTTAAAGTAGATTTTTAAAAATCAATAAGTTTAAAACAAAGAACTAGAATATTAATATATATATATATATATATATATATATATATATATATATTCTAATTTTTTTAACAATAAAAATCAAAGTTTCAAGTGCAAATATGCATATTTTTTCAAATGCATATATGCATATTTTTTATACTATAATATTTGTAAGTATATTTTATTAATTAATATATAAACATAACAGTACAAATATTTTATTCGATACAAAATAAAATATAAAAAATAAAAAATGCTACAAATTACAAAACGTTTTCATGTCTTCGTGTCAATAATTCCTTATTTTCTTCAATTTATTATTTTTCACCTCTTCAATATTCACTGCAATTTCTTCCAAATCTACAATACAATAAAAATAAATTGATTGATGCAAAAACACTCACAAAAATACGTATATGATTTTCATGTGACTAACATATGAATTACATGTGATTCACATATGAATCACGTGCGATTCACATATGAATCACATGCAATTTACATAAATCACATCTACATATAAGATCATATGTAAATCACATGCGATTCACATATATGGATCATATATGATTCATATGTGATTTACATGTGAGAATCACATGTGATTTACATGTGAATCAAATGTGATTAAAATGTAAATTACATATGATTTTTGTGTGATTAACATATGAATGTGTCCATATATACATAATTCATATGTAATTCACTTGTGATTTACATGTGAATAATATATTATTCATATATGATTTACATATGATTAATATCTGATTTACATGTGAATCACATATGATTTACAGATGAATCACATGTGATTTACATGTGAATCACATATAATTCACATGTAAATATATATTATGTCTTGTACCTTGTGAAGTAAATAAATAAAAGTATGTAGCTATTTTTTGTATTTGATAATGTCTAACAGGGATTTTGTACAATTACCTTTTCCCGAGTAGAATATTTGCATCAGATGTAGACTTTAAATTTGTCTAACTCCTTCATTCACAATTGTTTTGAGATTCATGAGCTTATTTTCATGCTATTGAATCATGTTCTTGACACTTGGATGGGAAGTATATAATTATAGCCAAAGTTAGCATTGATTTCTCTAAAACATGCAATTATACATTAAATCAGATTCCAAATAAACCTACAATAAAGGAACCAAAATTAATGTAATAAGCTCCTAAGTATAAAGTTTAATGAAAAATAATATTTAACGAGATTGGTTTGTTTACCTTCTAACACAAAAGACATATATATCCTCGTTACTTAACGAGCCTTTTTCTCCTCTTGTTATCTTTTGCAGCTAAGGTGATTGGTTTTCTATGGCCCTTTTCCATACTTTATTGAGTCAAAGTGTGAGTTTTGGAGTTATGAAGCTATAATTTGCTTTCACATAAACAGTATTATCAGAGGGAGTCATAGGTGGAATAGTAATTGGGGTGTTGTTACTTGTAGGATGCATATATTGTGTTAAATGAGCATCTTCTTGCTTTCTCTTCAATTTTAAGGATTACTTAAAAATGGTTTACCATTTCCCTTATCGACATCTACAAAAAGAAACCAATTAGCCTCATTTCAATTCCTTTAAAATACCAACAGAAAGTGGCAAAATGAAGGTATGGATTGGAGACTTTACCAATATCTTTGAGCTTCGTTTTCTTACTTGAGTTCAACCCATATCCCAATTCATTGTGCTAGGAATCTCATTTATCGAATCATTTCCTCCTGAAAATACATAAAATTTAATCCAATCACCCATTTCTAAACCTAGAGATCGATATCAATGTAAACATACACACATAGCACGAATTATATACAAATGCTATAAGTTTGATCTCAAAAGTCACAATTAATTAGGCGACCTTGTATTTTTCCGACTTATTTCATAAGTTCAAAGCCAAGACATTGGTGTGATAAAACAAGCAATCGATATGGAAGAAGGATATGAAGGTTGTGACCATATCGTATCGATGTAAGAGAGAAAGAGAGAGGTCTCCGGTGATGATTGTGCGATGATTGGATGAAGAAGATATAAATCTGATAATAAGGTACCGTGTAATTATTGATCGGAGTAGAAGGAGTCCATTAACGATCCATCATTGCTCTTAATCGATCGATCCAAAGTTGGAATCGATTGTTAGTGAATTAGCTAAATCGGAAATCAAAAACAAAGAGATTCATCGGGAAGAGGCGGACAATACTGGGGGAGGCAGTTGTGGTTCGTGAAACAGCTTAGAGACGAGAAAGAAAGGGAGAAAGAAGACGTGTGTGTGTTTGTGAGAGAGATGGTGGGTTTTTTTAATTTGTTAAATTGAATATTATATATATATATATATATATATATATATATAATTCCTAATGTGCCATTGTTATTATTTACAAAATGTCTAAGATACAATTGAAACAAGAGATAATTAGAAGTATGTCATAATTAATCAAAGTCATTCAAGATTTTGATCCAACGCTCTACTTATATATATATATATATATATATATATATATATATATATATATATATATATATATATATATATATATATATATCAAAACTTTAAGTTTATTACAAAGTTCTAGAAAAAACGGATGTTACAGAAATCCAATATGA